TCGTTTTTAAAAATATAAGAAGTTTCAAATGACATTTTTTAAATTTTCTCAACTTGTGTAAATTGTTACGTTTTGTTTTAAATAGTTACTTATAAAGTCATGACCATTTTTTTTGTTTAAACACAGTTGGAAGGCGAGAGTCACGTGGTGACATACAAGATTTTTTTAATTTTGTTAAATAAAAGAGGTTTTTGTAACTTTATTGCCGATGTTTCAAACTGAACTAATTTGATTTTTTCGACAAAAACACGAAAATTATGATAATGCAATTTTTTTCACCTAGTGAAAAATCAAAATCAAAAAAAAAATTGAAGATTATTTAAATAAATTCTTTGCCTTTCAGAAACCAGACTATTTATTGCTATTAAAAACTGTAAGAATAAAATTTTGTAATTTTTGGCCTACAAAGTAGAATAAATAGTTACGTAAACAGCTCATTTAAGCCACAAAAATCGCAATAATTGAAAAGAAACTTGAAGTAACTTCAACGATGGATGTAGAACAATGCCAAGAGCGTGTCCTTTAACTCAACAGCGAGAGGAAATCATATAAAATCTCGTTAAACAGTTTGTTGGCGTATGAAGAATTCTTACAAGTGACCTTTAAGTTTCCCAACTGTTTAATTAACATTTAATCAAATAAGTATTTAGCACTTGCTTTGGGAAAATCTTAGATCTTGATCGAAAGCGTTATGGGACCTGTTATGCGCACTCATCAGGATTCTCCTATAATTAGTTTGGCCCAATTAATTCCCACTTACTGGTAAGATATTTTCCGTTTTCGACTAGTCGGGGCGATGGTACTGTCAAGTTCCATCATGGTCTTTCCGTTATCTTGGTAGGAGAGATTCGAGGTGCATGGGTTACTGAAAATCACCCCCAAAATTGCGATTTTTCACTAATTTTAATTTCAAAACTTACTCAGAGATATTTGATAATTCATAATAAGTCGATTGTTGGTATTGTTGCTGGTCAATGACCGGTTTTAACTCTTCAAGTGTGATAAAATCGCGGTCGTCGTCGGGAATTTGCAAAAGTCGCGAATAGGGGATTTCCTGAACTGAAAAGTTTCGCGCCACCATTTTCACACAAACTGCTTTCGGACTGATTACCGGCTTATTTAAACGTGGAGTTTAGTGTGGCGCATGCCCGGTGGGGGAGCAAGGGCGATCCAGGGGAGGCCCAGGGGGCCAGGGCCCAAACTTGCCACCAAAAGTTTCAATATTTTATACAGGCTGTATTATGAAAAACGCCCCAAGCCATAACTCCATTATTTTTAAAGTTATGACAATACTTCTTAGAACAAACTTGAACATTTTTTATCATCTATCGTTTAGGATAGATGCTAAATTAATGCTGTTTTCTGTTTCACCGGAAATGACATCAACTTTATTTTTTTTAATGGAACACCCTGTATATTTTACCACTTTTGGATTCTTTGTTTAATTGTCTTTTAACAAGTTTTAGTACCATATTCCTAAAACTAACCGTTCGTGAGATATTCACCAAATAATGTATTTATTAAAGTAGGCAATGGAAAACAATAATATCAAGTAATGTTGACAAATATTATTCCTTTGCATTTTTTCTTATTGTTTTTATACTTTTTAATGTTAATCATGGATGATAATGTGTTAACAGACATATTTTGAATAAAATAAAAATTGTGGGAGAGCACTACGCTTTTACACTGGGTGATAGCTGATGAGAGACGTTCCAAATCGTCGAAAATTTAAGCGACTTAAAAAAATTTGAGGATGTTTTGGGCTTTTAGAAAACCCAAATTAAAACATCTCCAATTTCAAAGAGATACAGAATTAGTTAGGTATTGAAGAAAATGCAAGAACATGAATTCAAGAAATTGCAAGTAACGTTGGCTTATCGCACGCAACTGTTCTAATTTGGGTTTTCTAAAAACCCCAAACATCCTCAAATTTTTTTCAGGTTGACGAATTGGAACTTCTCTTATTGGAAACAGCCCAGTGTAAAGGCGTTGGGGTCTCCAACTATTTTTATTGCTTTCAAAATATTCTTGAATCATGTCTGTTAACACATTATCACCAGAAAGAACACCAAAAAGTATAAAAATAATAAGAGAAAATGCAAAGTAATAATACTGCCTACTTTAATAAATTTTTAATTGACTCATATCTCACGAACGGTTGGTTTTTGGCACATTGTACTAAAACTTGTTAAAAGACAATTAAACAAAGAATCCAAAAGTGGTAAAATATACAGGCTGTTCCATTAAAAAAATAAAGTTGATGTCATTTCCGGTGAAACAGAAAACAGCATTAATTTAGCATCTATCCCAAACGATAGATGACAAAAAATGTTCAACTTTGTTCTAAGAAGTATTGTCATAACTTTAAAAATAACGGAGTTATGGCTTGGGGCGTTTTTCATAATACAGCCTGTATTTAAATTTTAATATAAAAACCTTATGACCTAAAGTTTTTTAAATAAAAACATTAGAATTCTTTTTAAATCACACTTATTAATACAAATCATACATATACCCAGAGATCAAAATAATTTGTAATCATTTTTGAATCCGAAAACGTACAGTTCGGAATTAAAATTTCGGACAGGACTGTCATTTTCATAATGTAAACTCTAAAACAACGTTTATATTAATAACCTCATTTTTTACTCTTGTCGTATTTATGTCATTTTGACTTATTTACTTTCAAAAATAGTGATTTGTGGCATAATAACGGGTAGGCAGCAGATCTTAATAAATTTCCTAGGACAGACAAATTGTTTAATTAACAAATTTAATAACAAATAAAAATAAATTTACTTGTCAAATTTCAGTCATGATGACAGTAAAAAGTAGTTTACATTGAACTTTTTAAAGTGACAGAAAAATAGGTACTGCCCGAATTTTTAATTCCCCAACTGTACGTATGTCTGTTTTTGAACTAACTGCACGTGAAACATCAAATAAAATGACAAGTCGAAAACGGAAAAATGGGCTTTAATTAGTCGCCGACGTATAATAATAAGACCGTTCTTTTTTGAAGATAAATTATAAATTTAGTTATCTTTTTGATCATGGGATTTTACCGTTTCATTTATCATTTTATTTGACGTTTCACAGACATACGCACAGGACATACGTTTTCGGATACAAGGACAAATTATCTTGATCTCTCGATACTTCCTTAGTTTTTACTAATTTAAAGAGAAATCATCAATTGTAATTTTCTTTGGGCCACATCTTAGGTATCTAATTAAATTAAGTTAATATCTCTTTGAATAATGAATTTTACCAACTTGCTAGAACATCTTAAGCACAATTTTCAACTTGTTTTAAAATTCTACACTTTTTGGTTTTTGGGTAATGACGGCAGCGTTTTTTTTTTTAATGGAAACTCCTATTTTTTTACATATTACATTACATAAAGTTTTGTGTTTTTTAATTATCCAAAAAGTGAAATAATATCAATAAAAAACAAAGATACAATTTTAAATCAAGTTAAAAATTTTGTATTTGTTAAAAAGAAAATTGACCTGTTCGAGCATTTTTTCAAAACACACAAATTATTTTCGGTTTTAATAAATAAGATTATTCTATAATTTTGGCGCTCACTGTATACCTACCCTCATCATTTAAAAATTTTTTAGGTAGCCCCCTCCAAAATTAATTCCTGGATCCGCCCCTGTGGGGCAGTTGGGGGATTAATTTTTCCCAAAATTTCTAACTTAATTAAAAAACATTTTTTTCTGTGTTGCATCTTTGCAATAATCGCCGATAATGAGTGTTGTCGAATGCAGGAAACCTTTCATGTGATTTATTATTTGTTTGTTTTGTATATTTAAACCCTTTAATGGAATTGTACGAACGTGGTCATTTGTGAATGTAATTAATAGGGATTAGAGAGTTTCGCTGTGGTCCAATTGTTACATAATAACAAGAACCTTATATTGGTTTTCTATCGACTGACATATGATCTTATTAATCGAATATGGCTAAGGTGTGATTAAAGAAATTCGAGATTTTTGCACCTGAGGTCTATAACACGTCTTTGGTGCATCAGATGTCCGAGTTTCTTGTTAAGATAACGAACTGTTGCCTCGGGAAACATAATTATTGAGATAATTTTAGTGAATCTTTGAAGGATAGTTTGCTTCTTTTACAAATTACATTTTTATGTAACAAGATAATAAGAGATTGGGTGTTAATTAGCAATTAGCGCCTTTCTTATTGAGATTGAGAATTTTTATGCAGTTTTGATAAAAAGTGATTTTTTTCTACTGTTTTATGTGTTTTTTTAAATTTTCAGGTTCGTAGCTAGCCAAGAATTTAAATATTCTGAGCCCTACTTTAAAACTTTGTTTTTTTTTTACAACTTTTTTTAGAGAAAATAACGCATAA